CATTACTGTATGTTGTGGAGATCACTGGAGAGTGACACCACTAACCATTTTATAAAAAGTGCTCAGAGAACAAACAAAAACAGAGACCAGAGAAAAACAAAATAAAATTCACTAGAAAATTTCATTCACTTTTTTAAGCTTGAAGCTAAACATTAAAACACATTTAAATTGAATATGCTTTATTGATAAGGTTATAATCTATCTAAAAGCAACTTTGTAMATTTCCATGGGTTTAGAATTAAAACATTGACTTGCGAACTGATTTGTTTCAACTGGACAGCTCAGATTACAAATCCAGGCTTTGTATACACAGCACAGAGGCATCATGGAGTAGTTCTATTCACTATACCTTCAGAAAGAGAGAGAGGGGGGTCGAAACAGAAAAAGACAAGATCTGCTAATATGACAAAGACAAGAACAGGCAGCTTATAGGGCTAAATGATGATGCAAGAAAAGATGAACATGGTAAAATGGAAAAAAGAAAAACAATTTAGATATAAAGGTGGGATTAAGTATCATTCATTACATTGACAGTTCAGCTCATTTGAAGTAGGGTTCTGTGTAAAAAAAGATAAATTATCAAGCACATTTACTTTTTTTTGATAGTTGTTTGAACAACCTTATTTTGGAGGCATACAACTTAGTTCCTGTCAGACTGACAGCCTAATGGTTTGTTCCAGTGGGTCCAAAACCTGAATAGACCACTGCTGACCTAAACAACTCTTTTTTTAAATAAACACTTACAATGCAATCAAAGTTGCATTATATGGTTATTTTGCCAAATACATTAAGAACATTCCTGTAGGAAATGCTACACATAGCCACTGATGCTATTAGTAATCCAGTATAGTCACTTAATTATACAGTATATAAATAATCGTGTCATGTTATACTGATTAGAATGGAAACGTTTTATCCATGAGCTTTGTATAAATCTCTGATTTTTGTTTTCATGACTGATGCTGTTTTAGAACAATAGCAGATCACTTTGGTCTTGCATAGTTCAAACAGTGTTAATGCTTAAAACAAAATTAGCCAAACAYATAACTTCCCAATGATTATAGTTTTCATAACATATGTTTTTGAGAACTATTGTCTTAACCTTTTGTTTCAAACTGTTTTATGGCAATAAACATAATGAACAAAATCTTGCTGTGACAAAGTAACAAAGAAGGTTATTCGGTTTGATAAGAAACTTAAGGGATGATTTCAGATACAAAAAGTTCCCAGTTTAAATTTGGGAGGAAGTATTTAACTCGACATACTTCAGAGGTAAAAGTGGATGAAGCCAGTAAGTAAGTAAAGATCTTGACAGCCTGAAGAAGAGAAAACTAGGGACAGAAATATGGAATATTAAATATTTATCACGTTTAGGACAGCCTCCACTCACCCGTTAAACTGAAGCGGTACGATTCCACCCTGACTCTCCAACAGGCCCCGCATCTGCCCCATGGCCACCTCACATGCATTCTCAGCAGAGTACAGGTGGATCGGCGTGTTATACACTGACGGCTGGGGTGGAACCAGGACCGTTGGGGAGGAGGAGGAGGAGGCAGAGGACGGGTAAGAGAACGGAGGTGGGGATGGGGGCCGAGGAGGAGGAAGAGGACCATGGGAGGAGGCGGGAGTGAAGGCCGAGGATGGGGAAGGGATGACGGTGGTGAAAGGTGGGGGAGGGCAGTCACTCTGTGACGGACAGCCCCCATAAGGTCTGGGGACCTTGTTGTAGGGGACAGAGCAATGAGGCTGGGGGTGATGTGGAGGAGATGGATGGGTGATGGCTACTGGTTTAATGATGTCTGCTCTGTCGCCCTAACAATATGAGAGAAAAGCATGCAAATACACACAAAAACAAACTAAATCACACAATGCTGATGTCCCCCAGTGTATGTTTGAATATGTATTTGTCCAATTTAGTATTTCATGAAATAAATAGTAGTTTAAGGCTTGACGGGGAGACATCAACATTTGACACTGAATTTCACAATCAATTAATTCAGCAAACATGCAGCAAAACATTTGTATGAGATTGTTTCAGAAGGGTGCAAATATCTAAAAAATACACTCAGTGATGACTATCCATGCTTCTTTATGTGCTAAAATAATGAAATCAAGAACTTTGCATAAAATAAATTAAAGTATTATAATTGCTTACGATCATATAAAAACATGCTTAAATAGTCACACGGTAAAACAATCTACACAGTATTTTAAATACGTACACATTTTTCAAAATTTATGAATGTATGAATTATTGATTTACTGTATGTGTGTGTATATATATATATATATATATGTGTGTGTGTGTGTGATGACTCATACAGTACACTATTTAAAGACAAATGGCTTCGAAAGTTTACATTCCTCACTGATGGACCCTGACCTCAATGTAGCCGATCCACTTACTGAGACACACACACACTGACACACACACATAAACATTTGCCTTCACACACTTCAGTCTGGACCCACAGGTGTAAGCCATACCTCTCTAAGTAGAAGTGCTTCCTCCTCTTTAAATGTCTCCACTGTGTCCTGTGGGCGAGACGCGTGCTTTAAACTACATTTCCCATCATGCCCGGCGACCTGCAGGATGAAGAAGCAGATAAATCCACAGATATTTTATTCCACAGCACACATGGATGTTTCTGGGTGGGACTTGATCCTGTGAACCGCTCCCGGTCTTCCTGCAGAAACACACACATACGTACTCGCACAAACACACACACACACATGCACACACTTTATTTAAAGCCTTCTTTTGATTTAATTTTTATTTTTTATATTTTTATATTCTCGTGTGCCACTCCAGGCGGATGCAGCTTCATATGTGAGCTTGTTGAAATGTCCGTGCTCTTCCTCAGCATGAAGCGAAACACTCTGAATGACTTCCACTCTGCCTCGCCGTCGTTTCACCGACCTCCTGAACTCGCCTCTCGTGCGCACACAAACACACAATCGCACACGCACACACGCTGACAAACTTCTCTGAGCATTTCTAGTTGAGCGTCAGAGCTGGGCGAGAGGGGAGCTGCAGCCAAAGGACTCTAAATATTCGGCTCCCCCTCCGCTCTGATCGACCGCTGAAATATTTCTGAATGATGATGATGATGATGATGATGATGATGATGATGATGATGACGGGGAAAACAGTTAAAGTATTAAAATGTTTTTTGTAAGACTTGTCACTTGTCTTCTGTTTGTGTTTGGTGGCAGATTTGTACTTTCTGTTCCTGTTTCCAGGCGTCATCTCTGCTGTCTGGCCATATTTAAAAAGGGGCGGAGCTACACATTTTGTATGGGGTGGCACAGGGGTGGCCAATATGTTGTTTTAGGGGGGCACATGCAAAAAAAAAAACAACTAAACTACTCTTGATTTGAAAATCCAAGATGGCTTCCACAGCTAACTTCAAATGGCTCAAATTTAGCTGTTTTAAGAAATATTAGGCAAAAATTTGCATGTGATCAGAGCTAAGAATTGAGGGTGTTGAGATTAGTAGAGTCAGTGAGGTGAAGTTTTTGGGTGTCATTATCGATGAAAAGCTGTCATGGAAACCTCATATAAATCACTTAAGAATAAAAATATCCAAATCTATAGCAGTACTGTATAATGTAAGGGNATATATATATAGTGCTATGGAAGTAATTTTGCAGTACCTTTGGGGCCACAGGAGGGGGTTTACAAACACTGGAGGTCCTGGGGGGAAAAGGATGAAAAAGAAAGCACTTGAATTATTTTTTACTTTGTTTTTCACATAAACAATTTCCTTATAGAAAATGGTGACTACATAATTTGGGTAAAGTTACACCAGCGCTTACAAAATATTTACTGATATTTGTGGAAGCCATGCTGTCAAACAATTTTAATACTGCTGAGGTAAAGAAAAAAAAATGAGGGTCACACTGAATTACAACTTGAACCTGAGCTCTCAGAAATAAAACCAGAAGAGGTTTCTGTCATAATATGTGACAGAAACAGATTCTCACCTGGCCTGGTGCATCAAAAAAAGAAAGAAATTTGTGTTGCTAGAGTTTGGGAATGTGGTTTTAATACAGCTGTCTTCATTCTATAAAGTCATAAATGTGGTGTTTGATGCATGTTGCTCTGTTAACGTATTTGAAGGAAAATGCATGTTTCTCCACATATTAATACATTTACTTAGAAGAGATACTACCTCAGTACTTCAGCCAAATATCTGTACTGAGATCAGTTTTCATCTTTTGACATGGATTTTAATAAATGCCAAAACATGCTTGATTGTTTAAGAAAAATAACTAAAACATCAGCAGCAAAACCTACACAAATAAGATTATATTTTCAGTATTACAAGTACCAAGTTACATAAATGAAGTTAATTGATTTAACTACAAAAAAATATGGTTTGTAATTTGAGTACACGTACTACAGCAGAGAAAAACATAAATAAAAGAGGTAAGTAAACTGTGCAGTAACTGAAGACATGCAAATGTCAGCAGTCATGCATTCCTTTCAGAGCAGCTTCTCTGGAACCTTCCTCAGGGAGGTGCACGTCCTTCAGCCGTGCAAACTTGAACCAACACTCCTKCCGTGGTTAAAAAACACATCGGTCTGCAGATACAGATACTCATTTGGCCTTTTCTGTCCGACTCTTGTTCCCCGTGGGCTTGCCAACAATGTTGGTGATACTGTGACTGTGTTCCTTCAACGTGATGATGACATGATCTTAAGTGACAATTTGTGTAGGAGCAGGTCTAGAAAAACACTATTTCAAATGTAATTTCCAGACGTTTGGTAGTTACCATTTGGGTAAAGAAAAGAAAATGCTTCATTCTTCATGCTTTATGTTAGCACAAAAAAAAATAAAGAAATTAATTTTGGTTGATTATGTCCTTCTTGTGGAAAGCCTGTTTTTATCATTAAATGGTGCTAAAATTGATAGGGGGGAGTTGAGTACAGGTTGTGCTTATGAAAAACTTGCCAAGACTTCTTTGCCAATGCCAAACAGATTTTTCTTCTTCTTGTTGTGTTGTTTTGATGGTGGTTGGCAATAGGCTGAAGGTGTGCATTACCGCCACCTACTGGTAAGGAGTGTGGCTCAAGATGATTTCACTAATATTTGTATCCTACTACTATTATTGCATTTCTTTTTACATTTTCAAAGCTATCTATCTAAAGAAAATAAATAAATAAATAAAAATAAAAAATAAACAAACAAATAAATAATACAAAAATACCATCAAACTCAAATTCTGTTAAACAATTTTGTCTTTTTCAAAAATCGTATCATGATTTTGCCCCCTAAATTCCTTTGTAATGTGTCTATTATGTCAAACATTTCCTTAATGTTTCTAAACTGTCTTATCATAAACTGTCTCTCTTGTTTGTACTTCTGACATTCTTTTATAACATGTTCTATGGTTTCATTTTTCTTCTGCTATTGCTTCATGTTTTGAGCTTTTGAAACTCCTGGTGTTGTCAATTACATGCTTGATTGGAGCCTGATTGTGAGCACCTGTGAGCAGCCAATTTGCACTTCAATGGCTGTGTCTCAATTTAAAGGTTGCAGCTGATGTTGGGCGCATTTGTCGGCACTGCACTGTAGGGTGTCCCAATTCGTAGTTGGCTCATGCGGCTGACAAAACCTTGAAAAATTAGTCTGAATCTGAGTGTTTGCCATGGTTGACAAGATCCCAGAATTAATTGAGCTGTTATTGTGATTCTTCATTTTTTAATGGCAGATTGTTTTTCTTCCCATTGCTTGCCAAATCATTGTTTTTTTTATTGTGTTACATTTTTTAATAGTACTGAATTTTGTGAAGTTATACCATGAAAAGACAACTGAAGGCATGTGATATAAAACTTATCACCAAGGTCACACAAACATACGTCATCTGTAGACTAGGCCATCTTATTTCGCATGAGTGGCCTACAGCCATCGAAGGGTGTGGCCTGTGTGGGCCTCAGCCCATAGCTCCAATCTGGGCCCAAACTCTAAAACCCAAGACATCACTCAGCACCACAAATACTACAATGAGATGTTAAATAACCCAGATTTTGAAGGTAAAGAGTATGGAATGGCCTGCCAACTGTTCTGACTTCAACTTTATTAAATACTTGTGGTATCAGCCCTTGTGTGATGTTTGTTCCAGATTGGCCAACACAACCACATTGGTTGGCATTGTCCCTGTTTTTAAATGAAAACAAAATCTTAATTTGCCAGTATGTTTCATGTCTTCAGACTTTAATGTAAATAACACAAAACAAAAGTCAGTAACAGAATTGTTATATATTGTTATATATAACAGAACTGTTTGATATAGTTAGAGAAGATTTGGCAAGATTTTTTGTGGCATAACTCAAATACTGTGCTGCTCAACCCATAAATGCATTTTCCTTGCAAATGTGGCCCAATTTAAAGGGGAAACATGGACTTTTCAGTCATAAAGGTTTTATTTTAATAAAGTAAAATGATGCTTTTTGGTAAATATACCATCTTTTGCCACAAAGACTCAACCTAAGGCAAAGTAAATACCAAAATCTCAAAGCTGTTGCTGACTGAAAGACCCCACCTCATTGTTCCTTTCTGTTTCACCATTACCACATCACTTGTATCCCTTCAAGTTTCCATGGACACACTACACTGTAAATAGTCCTCCAGAGCTTATCTGAGAACAGCTCACATTTACAGATCGGACGGCATGGAAATATGTCTGGTGGACGAGGTATGAAGGGGAACACTGGGGTATCAAGCAGCTAATTTCAAACACAACCCACGTCATCCCTGTCTGCCGTTGCCGCTCTTACACTGTATCTATAAGTGGAAAACACCAACATGGAAACGTGTCGCAGTCACACACTCAGCTGGAAAAGAATTGGAAGCAAGAGTGTGAGTTAAATCAGAGGCAAGTGACCTCACACAGGCTCTTATGCCACGTAAATGAGGAAATTATAAATCTAACATTTTAGTTCCATTAATTAAAAAACAGTTTAACAGCTGTGCCGTAAACTTTCATTGCAATATTTTATTTATTTTACTTTACATTAGTTGTATAAATGACTGTGTAAACAAGAGTTGCATTACTGCATTTATGCACGAACTAAAAAAGAAAAGACACATGTTAGCTCTTCATCTTCCATAAAGCCACATGTGCCGTTATGTCTGATCTGTGTTCTTTGTTGTGTATTTGTTTTTAATCTCGAGTCTATTTTTACTCAAATGACAGCATTGAACAATGTTCCCAGGACTGTGCCTTAAAATGCCTTTAGTTTCTCCAGTGAGCACCCCCCCACCACCACCACCCACCCAAAATCAAATGGCAATGGTTGTGCTTTCAGTTAAAAAAGTGCAATTATAAGCACACATCCACAAATGGTGTGATATCAAAAAACTGAAAGACTTTTTATGTTGTCAGAGTTTTGTGGTGTTTCTGGGTTGACAATGGTAAAGCACCTACAGTTATAAAAGCAGCAGTGAATGGACAAAGGATAATTACCAAATGTGAGCACACACACACACACACACACACACACACACACACACACAC